GGATTTACATGTGTTCCCCATCCTGAACCCCCCTCCCACCTCCCTCCCCATGCCATTCCTCTGGGTCATCCCAGTGCACCAGCCCTGAGCACTTGTCTCATGCATCCAACCTGAGCTGGAAATCTGTTTCATACTTGACAATATACATGTTTCGATGCTTTTCTCTCAGATCATCCCACCCTCACCTTCTCCCATACAGTCCCAAAGTCTGTTCTATACATCTGTGTCTCTTTTTCTGTCTTGCATATAGGGTTATCATTACCATCTTTCTAAATTCCATATATGTGTTAGTATACTGCATTGGTGTTTATCTTTCTGGCTTACTTCACTCTGTATAATGGGCTGCAGTTTTATCCATCTCATTAGAATTGATTCAAATGTATTTCTTTTTAATGGCTGAGTAATATTGCATGGTGTATATGTACCACAGCTTCCTTATCCATTCATCTGCTGATGGGCATCTAGGTTGCTTCCATGTCCTGGCTATTATAAATAGTGCTGCGATGAACATTGGGGTGCACGTGTCTCTTTCAGTTCTGGTTTTCTCGGTGTGTAGGCCCAGGAGTGGGATTGCTGGGTCATATGGCAGTTCTATTTCCAGTTTTTTAAGGAATCTCCACACTGTTCTCCATAGTGGCTGTACTAGTTTGCATTCCCACCAACAGTGTAGGAGGGTTCCCTTTTCTCCACACCCTCTCCAGCATTTATTGCTTGTAGACTTATTTTTAAAGCGAACTTCATATATATTTCTTAAATGTTTTGTTTTTATTTTTAATATTGTATTTTTAAGAGTCTAACCTCTACTCTAGATTTTTAATCTTTGTTTTTTAGTATTTGATATCAATTTTGGACATTTAAGAATCCAATATTCAGTACCCATTTTTACTCAGGAGTGTGTTGATTACTCTCTCCCCCTTTTGACTCTCCTTTTTCTCCCCCAGATCACCTCTATTTTCTCCCTCACCCTTCTCTTCTCAATCCAATTCTGTGAATCTCTGTGGGTGTTCTGGGCTATGAACACTAGGGAACAGAGTACTGTGTAGATCTGTCTCTCCTCTTGAGTCCCCCTTTTTCTCCTCCTGCCCGTCTCTACCTCCCTCCTCCCTCTCCTCTTCTTCATGTAACTCTGTGAACCTCTCTGGGTGTCCCTCACCGTGGAGAATCTTTTCACCATTAACCGAGAAGTTTTATTATCAGTGCTGGATAGTTGGAGAAGTCTTGAGGCTATTGGAAGAATAAGACTGAAATCCAGAGGCAGGAGACTTAAGCCCAAAACCTGAGAACACTAGAAAACTCCTGACTACACGGAACATTAAGTAATAAGAGACCATCCAAAAGCCTCCATACCTACACTGAAACCAACCACCACCCAAGAGCCAATAAGTTTCAGAGCAAGACAAACCACGCAAATTCCCCAGCAATGCAGGAACATAGCCCTGAGCGTCAACATACAGGCTGCCCAAAGTCACACCAAACACATAGACCCATCTCAAAACTCACTACTGGACACTCCATTGCACTCCAGAGAGAAGAAATCCAATTCCAGGCACCAGAACACTGACACAAGCTTCCCTAACCAGGAAACCTTGACAAGCCAATCGTCCAATCCCACCCACTGGGAGAAACCTCCACAATAAAAAGGAACCACAGACCACCAGAACACAGAAAGGCCACTCCAAATGGAGCAAGCATCTTTTAATTTCATGGCTGCAGTCATCATCTGCAGTGATTTGGAGCCCCCCAAAAATAAAGTCTCTCATTGTTTCCATTGTTTCCCCATCTATTTGCCATGAAGTGATGGGACTGGATGCCATGATCTTAGCTTTCTGAATGTTGAGTTTTAAGCCAACTTTTTTACTCTTCTCTTACACTTTCATCAAGAGGCTCTTTAGTTCTTCTTTGCTTTCTGCCATAAGGGTGGTGTCACCTACATATCTGAGGTTATTGATATTTCTCCCGGCAATCTTGATTCCAGTGTGTGCTTCATCCAGTCCGGCATTTCACATGATGCATTCTGCATATAACTTAAATAAGCAGGATGACAATATACAGACTTGATGTACTCCTTTTCCTATTTGGAACCAGTCTGTTGGTCCATGTCCAGTTCTAGCTGTTGCCTCTTGGCCTGCATACAAATTTCTCAAGAGGTAGGTAAGGTGGTCAGGTATTCCCATCTCTTGAAGAATTTTCCAGTTTGTTGTGATACACACAGTCAAAGGCTTTGGCATAGTCAATAAAGCAGAAGTAGGTGTTTTTCTGGAACTCTCTTGCTTTTTCTATGATCCAACAGATGTTGGCAATTTGATCTCTGGTCCCTCTACCTTTTCTAAATCCAGCTTGTTCATCTGGAATTTTGAGCATTACTTTTCTAGCGTGTGACATGAATGCAATTATGTGGTAGTTTGAACATTCTCTGGCATTGCCCTTCTTTGGGATTGACAAAGAAAGGCAGTCCTGTGGCCACTGCTGATTTTCCAAATTTGCTGGCATATTGAGTGCAACACTTTCACAACATTATCTTTTAGGGTTTGAAATAGCTCAACTGGAATTCCATCACCTCCACTAGCTTTGTTCATAGTGATGGTTCCTAAGGCCCACTTGACTTCACATTCCAGGATGTCTGGCTCTAGGTGAATGGTTACACCATTGTGGTTATCCGGGTCATGAAGATCTTTTTTGTATGGTTCTTCTGTGAATTCTTTCCACCTCTTCTTAATATCTTCTGCTTCTGTTATGTCCATACCATTTCTGTCTATTGTGCCCATCTTTGCGTGAAATATTCCCTTGGTATCTCTAACTTTCTGGAAAAGATCTCTAGTCTTTCCCATTCTATTGCTTTCCTCTATTTCTTTGCACTAAGGAAGGCTTTGCACTGATCACTGAGGAAGGCTTTCTTATCTCTCCTTGCTATTCTTTGGAACAGATATTTGAAGATGGATATAAGAATATCTAAAATTTTTCACAAATCTGTTTACACTGTAACAAAATATAATAAATCCTGTAAAATATATAAGGTCCTCCTTCACAAATAAGTCCTAGGAACTTACTTTAATTAAAAATAAAATTGAGAGGCAAGACAGGGTTATATTTATTTCTACTCTAAAGAGTAATTTTAAAGTAAAAAAGGTACAGAAATAATTCACAATGGTAGTTACAAAGAATACTGTTATTTTATATGTTATTTTACCAACCTGCTGAGTCATTGTTCATAAGATATTTATCAAATCAAAACAAAAGCCTTCTGGCTCTAGCTGAAGTCGCTTTTGCAAAATGTAATTACAATCTAGATCTTAAGTTTCTGATCAAAATCACCAGTGCATATTATAAAATTAAGTTATAGCTCCTTCTCCATTTGTATTTCCAATTACCATGTTAGAGCTTTTAAAAAGAGATGAAGCTGCGTTTCTCAAGACCAGTAACAGTATCTCAGGAACAGAATGGGAAGAAACATAAACATAATCATGTATTACAGGTTCTGGGGAACAGCTTTTCAAAATTAAGTTTAAAAGTAGACAAAACTTGGTGTTTTGGGTAACCTGGGGCTTTCTTACTTAATTCATTTCAGCCAGAGCTAAAGTGAGCAATATGTCAAATTAACTTGCTCAATTTTCTTTTCTCAACTTTTTCAATGCCCTTTAGGAACATCATTACCGAGAAGCTATTGTTGGCATTTACTACACAAAACCTGATTCTGGAAGGTTGATACTGCAATAGCCTAAATATCACAAAACTGGGGAAAATTGTATGGTACCAGTTATTTCACTATACTAAAAGGAAAAATAATCTGGAGATAAGTCATTTTTGGTTGAAAAGAAAAAAGGCTGTAGTATGTTTTTAATGGTTGATTTACATTTTAATATAAGCCATGAATACAAAATGACCTTTACTAATAATTTTAAAAACCTGTTGAAATTGCCAACTGAAAAATTAATATTTTTGTGTCTTGTCTTTCACATATTAGATGTGATGGTTATAAGAAAAGAGACCCTAGCATATTGTATTAATCTCAATGGAGCAGAGCCCTCTATTTAAATAAAACAAAACATCGTGTTGGTCATTTAAAATAATTTACAAATCTATTCTCTTTAATGTTTTTAAGTTCAGTACAAATCAAATCAAATCTATCACTAAAGAAACCACGTAAAAAATGAGCATTAAATGCATACCAGTATGAAATAATCTATCTTTTAAATGAACCATGTTGAGACTACATTTCACATGAAAAATTATAAACTGATATAGGTGTCAAAAGCAATTCCTAGAAAAACAATTATTTCTGATGAAAATAATTTTCCTACTACTTGCCATGATAAATATGATTTGTTCCTCTATATGTAAAATAAGCAGTTATAGTTTTGCCTATTTTCTTTTATACGTACAGACATAAAAATGAAGAAAGCAATTGTCAATTGTCTTGTCTCCATGGACTCTCTTTGTTTATTACTATTATTTATAGTAATGCTGCTATTTCCAGGCTCATTGAAAAAGATATATTAATCATCCTGGGAAGAAGGAAATGTAGGTTAAGGTTAACTCTTAAACATAAAGAACTATAAGTGAGCTGGATTTGATTATAAAACAACCTTGTGTTAGTTGCTCAGTCATGTCCAACTCTTTGCAATCTGAAAGACTGTAGCCTGCCAGGCTCCTCTGCTATGGAATTCTCCAGGCAAGAGTACTGGAATGGGTTGCCATTCCCATCTCCAGGAGATTTTCCCAACCCAGGGACCAAACCTAGGTCTTCTGTATTGCAGGCAGATTTTTTACTCTTTGAGCCACCAGGGAAAGCCAAAACAACCTTACACGACAACGAACTTAAAAAACGAATTCACTTCAGTTGAGCTGATACCTACTTGAATATATTATTATATTCAAAAACTCTAAGTACTGATCTATAATATTGTGTATTCACAAAGCATATGTTGTTCTGGACACAGATAACAATCAAACCCTTGTTTCCTTTAAAAGTAAACATAAAAATAAATTGTGTGTTCCATGATCTATGTGCTTTGCACTCTAATGTTCCGCATGTCTCTCAGCAACACTGGTCGGTAGTTTTGTTCCAAAATTTCCATGTATTCAAAGTAATCACTCACTCGAAATCCATGCAGTGCTTCTTCCTGTCAAAAGATATAAAAAGACATCCATTTGCTTGGGTAAAGACACAGAATTCTAAGTTAATGGGTTTTAAACAGTTGATATATCATTTTTTTCAGCTACAGATGGGGGTTTTATGTTGCTAGTAAATGCTTTTTATTTAGTAAGCTATATATATATGTGTGTGTGTATATATATATGTGTGTGTGTGTGTGCGTGTGCATATATATATATATGATAGCAAAAAATCATGTCCCTGTGATAACTAGGTTGTCTGTTTTCAAAACCAAAACTGCTTTATAGCTAACAACAACAAAAAACAAACTCTTAGATAATGAAAACTTCCTAATGTTTTAGATATAATAGTTCCAATTATAGAATGATTGCTTACATCTGTAATTAGTAAAGACTTTAAAGCTTATCAAAGGACACTTACAATATTGCAAGGAATATCTATTCTACAGCTATGTTCATAAAATTTCCAGTAGTCTGCAATTCATAATGTTGGTACTACACATATCTATACTAATTTGGAATTTAATGGCTAGTGTCCCAAATGTGGCACTCAAGAATTAAAAATAACAAAGCATCCATTTAGAATCTTATACACTTTTAGGGAATTTTAGGATTATTTATTTTAGTATCTCTAAATACTAGCTGTGGAATGCCAACCTTTCAAAGTAACAACAACAAAATTCTGTGAAAGAAACTTGATCCTTGATTCAATGTAACATGTTAGAAATTTTGGATGTTATAAAAAATTTTGACAATTCATGCCTTTCTGGATATAACAGCTTAAAGGCAAAAACTACTAACAATAAATAAAAACAATTCAAAAGAATAAAAGATAATATATTATCATATACCAAATACTGTGTTTAGAGACAAGTCAGTTTGTAGATGAGAGACATAAATGTAGGGTACTTAGGAAAACATCACAAATTCTCAGTAAGAATGGATGTTTTTAGGGAGTTCCCTGGTGATCCAGTTATTAAGATTCCACGCTTCCAATCCAAGGGGTAAGGGTTTGATCCCTGCTTGGGGAACTATGATCCCAAAAGCCACATGGTACAGCCAAGAAAAGAATGCATGTTTTTACAGGCCTCAGATGTTACTAGGGATGACTAGATTAGTAATAGTTCACAGATAACTTGGGAGAAGAGTATATTACTTGCCACATGTCACCAAAAATCTGGATAATCTGAGAGAAAAGTTAATTGGTACCTTAAAAACAGAAGTATTCTTAGTGATCTATAAAACTGATATCATAACTAAGAAATTAAATGATGTTAAGTTAGATGCATAAGATTATGCCTTTAAGACTAAGAATTAATACCTTCGAACATAAAAATTTGAGCTACTCTTAATTTTAAAATACTTGTGACATTATCCATTTCTTCATTCATTAACCTCATTCATTCCCTAGTGTATATAAGGTTCTTGGTTATACAGTGAAGACCCAAAGATGAACGAAACAGGTCTCTGTTCCAAAATATTAACAACTAAGGTATATATCATATCTCCAGTTTTATGTATAAGCAACTGAATCAAAAGGAAGATGTTCATTTTAAAAACAGCAGAAATACTATATCTTTGTAACTTTCTCTATCAAATATATTTCACTTTTTTCTTTGGCGTAAAAGTATGACTGAAGTAAGACTAATCTTGCTATTCAAGAATTCACTTTAACTGCTGTAGTCATGGAACTATTTAATGTGTGATTTGACATTAATCACCCCTTCACTAAAACTATACCTAAGTTGGAAAAGAATTATAGTAATGTGTTATTCTAGCCAGAAGAAAAAAAAAAAACTTAATGCCAGAAAAATTGTCTTTGAACATATTCATGATTTTTAAAAGAATGCTTATTGTTCATTATATGTGAATTACAATAGGAAATGACTGCATTTGAAAAACAGCACTAATAATTCTTCCTGGGCAAAGTAAGCAAAACCTACTTTAACATATTTTAATTATTGCTCCACTTTAGTTTAAAAATAAAACTTACCTATGGAGAACCATAGCTATTACTTTGTTTAAAAATACCTTTTCCTTAAAACATGTTTTTTGAACTTTGGCTCCCATTTTAGACATTAATATTAAAATAAAGAGAAAATACTCTGATAACTATACTGAAGAGACACCCATAAAAATGGCAAATAAGTTATTAAGGCCTTATTTCATAACAGAAATATAAAATATTCATTTTAAAAGAAATGTTTTTAAATTATATAGATTTAAAATTCACAGGCAATTTTAACTCTGAATAAAATTTTAGAACCTCTGAATTCTACTTTGTCTTCAAAGTGGAATATTTTCCATTTTATCCTAAATATTCTCTAATTGCCTTTTAGTGAATTACTTTTCTTTGTAATTATGACCACTTAGACTCCCAGCTAATCATTTAAGTTATAAAGGGGCCATTTCCTCAGACTACTGTTTTATTATCATTTTATAGACCTAAGTATATCGGACTGTGGATAAAAATAAGAATTCCCTTATTCTTTAAATAGGCAGACACATATAATTATATAAGGTAACATTATCACATTTTATACAGACAGTACTCTATTCAAGTTTTTTCTTTTTAATAAATTACTTCTGGAACAGTTTATATCTTGGTTGGGGAGTTCATTTTGAGCACATTGCATTCTCTTTTTCTATGCAGTGGATTTCCAACCAAAGTGCCTTAAATGATTTGCTCTTTTCATTAATGTTGAGTTTCAAATGTTGAACCATGAAAAAAGTATTAAAAATTACCATCCTAAACCACAGTGTTGTGTGTATATTCAATATTATACAATATGGCATATACACAGCTTCCCTCTCTCCTTTGTACACAGAATCTAGTTTCAAGTATGTATCCACTGGTTTCCTTTTATTAGTGAGAGCATTTAATTAGAACGTCCACTGAATTTGGGTTTTTTTTTTTAAAGTAAACAGACTAGTCAGTGATATACTAGAAAGAGCATAGGATTTGGATTCAGACCAAAACGGGTTCAAACTCCCCTGTGTTAGTTATTAGACAAATGAACCTGGGAAAGTTTACAGATTCTCTAAGCCTCAATTTTTCATGTGTAAATATAGACAACAACAGCATAAACTGTGTTTTCTAAACTCTTTACCAGGAATGAGAAAGCCCTGTGTGATCTGATTCCTGCCTCATCCCTGACCACTCTTAGCCTCTCCCCTTGTTTTGGCCACAGTGGTCATCTCGACACTTTATAAGTGGGCCAGGCCCATTCTTACCTCTGAGCCTTTACACTTGCCTTTCTTCTCATTTAGAAAGATTCTGCACAGATGTCTTTGCATTGCTTTTCTTTTTCCTTTGCTTCATGTAGTCTCAGGATATCCTCTCATAGCAGCCTTCACTAGACACTTTATCTAAATAGCACTTAGGAATCTGACTCTCTGACTCCCTTACCATGTTTGATTTCTTCATATTTAAGATCTATCAATACCTGAGATATTATATAATCATTCACATATTGTTATCTACTAGTAGAACTAGATGGGGAAAAAATGGCAACAGCGGCAGATTTTATTTTCTTGGTCTCCAAAATCACTGCAGACAGTGACTGCAGCCATGATTAAAAGGTGCTTGCCTCTAGGAAGAAAAGCTATTACAAACCTGGACAGCATATTAAAAAGCAGAGACATCACTTTGCCAACAAAGGTCCATATAGCCAAAGGTATAGTTTTTCCAGTAGTCCTGTATGCATGTGGCAGTTGGACCATAAAGAAGGCTGGCTGTCAAAGAACTGATGCTTCTGAACTGTGGTGCTGAAGAAGACTCTTGAGAGTTCCTTGGACAGCAAGGAGATCAAACCAGTCAATCCTAAAGGAAATCAACCCTGACTATTCATTGGATCCTGGACTGATGCTGAAGCTGAAGCTCCAATACTTTGAACACCTGATGTGAAGAGCTGACTCACTGGAAAAGACCCCGATGTTGGGAAAGATTGAAGGCAGGAAGGGAAGGCAATGACAAAGGATGAGATAGTTGGATGACATCACTGCCTCAACGGACGTGAGTTTGAGCAAACTTTGGGAGAGTGGAGAGGGCAGCCTGATGTGCTGCAGTCCATGCAGTCACAAAGACTCAGAGGTGACTCTGTGACTGAACAACAGCAATTAGTAAAACATTAAAGTCAATGTGGTAGGCCATGGCCTATGTTATAACTACAACGATGCTTGGAACACAGATGCTGGACAAAGGTCAATGAGTGAATGAGCAATCCTTTTGCTCAGTGCCTGTCATTCGATAAGCATTCACAGTGTCAACAGTGGTCATTATAGTTTTGTTAAGCTACATTCTCGGAAATGATTGAGCTAGATTTTCTTGATTGCACTGCAAATTTATAATGTTAAGCATGGATGGGCTCACTAAAAGGAGGATGAACAGAGATGGGGGAAACAAGTAACTATTAACTTTTTTTTAAAGCACTTGGAATGTACCAGATAATGTTGTAGAAGTATTTCACAGATAGCATCTCATTTCATTCCTCCACAACTCTAAGTAACAGGTATTATTTCATACTAAATTAACATATGAGAAAAATTAGGCATACAGAGGTAAGCAACATGCCCAAACTTACACAGAGTGGCAGAATTTAACTTGAGGTGGGCTCAAATGATGTAAGGTGAAGGCAAAAAACAACCGAAAACCACAGTTGAATAACACACTGAACATGCTGCATCTGTTCCTTCAGATGGTGAATTCTTTTTAATACTTTAAACACTTCTGCCTTTTAAGAGCTTACTATACAATTAGTTTTTTTTTTTTCTTCCTTCAGTCTGATCTCTATTTCTTATGCCGACATGTTCGAGTAACCACAACTGCAAGTAGAAACAACAAAAAAACCCACTTGACAATTTACTGATGGGATGAAATAAATCTGATTTTTATGTAATTATAAATTGATTTCTCCCTAATATGCAGGATTTACTTGAAGCATTTTAATTAAGTATTTTGAGTCTTCGCAGCCTAATTTTCACTGGAAGGCAATCTTTTCCCAGCCTG